ACAATGATAGTTTAGTTTTTAAAAAACCTTCACTTGAATGAAAGTAATTGACTCTTTCTATTGGTTGTTTACACAACAGGTTTCGTGTGTATGATGTTGACACCAAGTATCAAAATTCAAAACAAGAGGTAACATTCTACTCATTTTGATCTCATGAGTACTAAAAGCAATGTGTATGTTGTCTCTATAAAATGTGGGTACCAGCAGCACTCACATGCTTGTGTCTCAACATTCATTTAGCATGTGATATGTTGTGTGTGTAATTACTGAAGAAGATTTAATTTTTTCAGATGTTGAAGCTTGACGACCAGCAGTTTCTCGGTGAGGCAACATGTGTATTGTCTGAGGTATCAAAACTGCTTTAAATGCCTTATCCTTTTCTTGTCTTATTGGCATGTGTGGGACTTTAATATTTTACTTTTTTTAAACCATGCAGATAATCACAAAATCAACTAGGACGATTACATTAGAGCTCAAAGGCTTTGCTGCACAGACTCAGCAGCATCACAATGGAAAGCTTATTATTCATGCTGAGGAGTCTCTTGCTTCTAAGATTACAACAGAGATTGTATTCAGATGTTCTAGTTTGGAATCTAAAGATCTTTTCTCAAAAAGTGTAAGTTTTTGTGTCTTTACTAAAATATCAGTTTAGACATAAATATATAACTCAATTGTTTATTTCTTTTTGCTCATCTTTAGGATCCATTTTTGGTGGTATCAAAGATTGTGGAGCATGGAACTCCAATCCCAGTGTCTAAAACTGAAGTCATAAAGAACAATATTAACCCTACTTGGAAACCACTCTTTCTAAATGTTCAACAAGTTGGGAGTAAGGTATAGGAGAATCTTTTAGCTGAATCTTTCCAAGAACATGTAACAAATAAAACATGTAACATATCTCAAATATGTTTCTGTAATCTTGCAGGATAGCCCACTGATAATAGAATGCTCAGACTTTAATTCCAATGGCAAACACAGTCTCATTGGGTAAGATTAGAGCTCAAACTATCTCATTTTTTGGAGTGAGTGACTTTATAGAAAAGCTGTGTGCTGACACAAGTCCTCGTTTTATTTTGTGTGGCCAGAAAAGTTCAAAAATCACTTGCAGACTTGGAGAAACTTCATTTGGCTGGCCAAGGAATCAACTTATCTCTGCCTACCAATGCTGGACAAAAGAAGGTATGAGGCAATAGTACAAGGTTTCCAAAACATGTTCATGTCTTTTTCATGTAAGTTATCTGATAACATTTCTCCTTATTTAAAGGTATTGAAGAGCCAGCTTTTTGTGGACAAGTTTACCGAGACTGTCCAGCACACATTCCTGGAGTACTTAGCATCCGGTTTTGAACTAAGCTTCATGGTAGCAATTGATTTCACAGGTAGGTGTTACACCACTACAAAAAAAAAAAAAAAATTTCCTAAAAACTAAGCATCTTGTGCACTAATATAAACTTCCCTTATTATCCTTCAGCTTCAAATGGAAATCCACGCCTCCCTGATTCTTTGCACTATATTGATCCTTCAGGACGATTAAATGCCTACCAAAGAGTGAGGAGTTGCTGTTAATTTCATTTTCATAATAAGCAGTGACTGTGACTAAAACCAATCATTGATCATATCTCTTCTTTTTTTGTATTATTAACAGGCAATAGTGGATGTTGGAGAAGTATTGCAGTTTTATGACTCAGACAAACGTTTCCCTGCTTGGGGATTTGGAGCTCGTCCTATTGACTCTCCAGTTTCACATTGTTTTAACCTAAACGGAAGCAGTTCATTCTCTGAGGTTAAAAAGAAAAAACTCAACTCGCTTATCTTTAGTATAAAAACTTTAATGTTTCAGGATTGAGTAATCAATTGTTTTCTTTTCTTTCAGGTGGATGGGGTTCAAGGAATCATGACTTCATACACAAGTGCACTCTTCAACGTCTCTCTGGCAGGGCCTACTCTTTTTGGTCCAGTGATAAACTCTGCTGCAATGATAGCCAGCCAGTCTCTAGCTCAAGGTTCAAGGAGATATTACGTCTTATTAATCATCACAGTGAGTATACATATATATTCAAAAAAATATAAACAAAACAGCATATAACAAAACAAAATCAAATGACCAAAACTTGTCTTTCAGGATGGTGTTATAACAGACCTTCAAGAAACAAAAGATGCATTAGTCAGTGCATCGGATTTGCCGTTATCAATCCTCATTGTAGGAGTTGGAGGAGCTGATTTCAAAGCGATGGAGGTAAAAGTCTATTATGTCCTATATTAAAAAAAAAGACATGTTAAATTAGTTATTAAAAAAAGACCAAAGGTGGTAGTTTAATGGTAGGCAGACTTTTGGAAAGTTAAGCAATCCAAGTTCGAAATCATCCTGCTACACTTCAGTAGTGGTGGACAGTGCTAGCCTTAGAATTCTTAGGGCTAGAAGCCAAAAATGAAAAAATGGCCTAAAATAAAATTATGTTAGAGGTGGCCTTCGAACTCTGGTTTGGAAACGTGTAGAGGTGAATTTCGAACCCTAGTTTGGAAACATGTAGAGAGGACATTACAACCATTATACTGAAAACACAATTTTGAAAATATGTGGTCAATGTTTTTGATATTAAATGACGGCCGGAAGCCATTGCTTCTATTGCTTGGGTCTAGGATCGGCTCTGGTGGCGGATCCACGTTAAGTTTAGTTGGTTCAGCTTACACAGTATAAATCTATATAACTAGATGGTTTCATATGTAAAAATGCAGAAAAATTAGTTAAACTGGTAGGTTTTTCTATTTGACCCCACATAGTAGAGTTCCATACCCATATCTGACACCAATCATTTTATTTTTCTATTTTTTATGGGTCTCAATTAATAACCTATTTAATTGTCTAATTAATATATGATGATACCACAATAAAAATGAATTGGGTCCACCCCTGACTTCACCTTATATCATGTTTTAGACCTAATTTAAATCATGAGGTCTAAAACAATCTTTATGATCTTTAGACCTCATTTGTATCATGTTGTAGACCACATTTGAATACCAAAGTTTTTTTTTATGATCTTTGTGTAAACTGTGTGTTTGTTATGGTGTTGTGTTTTAGATACTAGACGCAGATAGAGGTGAACGACTAGAAAGCTCGAGTGGACGTGTGGCGTCACGTGATATCGTTCAATTTGTGGCACTACGAGACGTGCAACGTGAGTTTTGTTTTGATTCTTGAAAATTTAACCCACAAGAACCGTATAACAAAGCTAGCTATAGTTGCTTGTTTTGGTGGGTGTTAATGTGTTGTTGCGTTTTGTTTCTTTGCAGATGGAGAGGTCTCTGTAGTACAAGCGCTCCTCGCAGAACTGCCTTCACAGTTTTTGACGTATATGAGAATCCGTAATCTGAAACCTATTCCTCTGTGAATATGATTTGATGGATCGTGTGTAAATAATATGCCAAAGAGAAAGTGTACATAATATATATACTTTACACGCGGCAATTGCATTTGTGTTTCTTTTCTTTCTTTTTTTTCTGAATCTTTGTTGTAAAAAGTTTGGATTGGTTTTTGTCTTGACTATTTATAAATGCATTGAAGTTATAAGATGAAAAATGAGTTACGTTTACACACATGAGAAAGCTATAACTTTGGCCTCAGGTTTCCAGTTTTACAGTCCAACTTAAACAAAAAAAAAAGAGTTACGTTTACACACATGAGAAAGCTATAACTTTGGATCGGACTCAGGTTTCCAATTGTAGTCCCGCATTAATAAAAAAACTAGGTAATAACTCGTACCTTGCACGGAATGAGATTATTATTTTTAAGATAAAAATAATATTATATTTGTTTAGCATGAATATTGGTTCTGTTTTACGTTGTTTTTTAATGTCCTAAAATATAACTATCATTCCAAATCTATATTTATTTTGGTTTGTTTGGTTTAAATGTTTGATGTTTTTAATTTTTTCGATGATAACCAAAAACTATTTTTATATTTATGTTTCTTTTTATATAAATTTTAGACATTTTTTATGTCGAACTAATAGTTTCCTATTGTAATTTCTAAAAACACGTAAAATCAAACAAAATCTAAATAATATTTGAAGAAAAAATAAAAGAAAATTATTAACACAAAATATTTCACTACAATATGAACGATAGTGAAAAAAAACATAAAAAAATTCAACTTCAATAAAAATTAAAATTCTCACTTGTGGTGAATACTTAATTATATAGTCACTCATGTTAATGTGTACATGTATGTATATGTAAAAGTATATAAGTGTGATGATATATATATGAATATAGCGTTACTTAAGATTTAAAACATTTTTGTTCAAAATAACACATGATAGTAAATTCTTAAATAAAGTTAAGTAAAAATAGAAAAATCTAGAAATTAATGACATTTTTCATATGAAGAAAATCAAATTGTACCCGCAAACAAGAAAAATAATATATATTACAAAGTGACATCTTCATTTGGTACCTGGACTCTGTTTTTAATCGATTTTGTGATTTTTATTTCTTTTTAAAGCCTTTTTTATTTTTATTTTCTTCTACCAATTTGATTTTGTTTCTAATTCTTGATCTGATATGAAAATTTTATAACTAAACTAAAGATCCGACTTTACGTGTGGTGTTTTTCATCTCACTTTCTTTAATTCATAATCAATAACCGTATTTGTTGTTATTGTGTATCAAAGCCTCAACCATGACCAACTTCGGTAAGGTACAAAACTTTCATTTTCTACAAATATTTTCATCGCAACATTTTAGTTGATGCAAATCTTAATAATTTTGTATTTTTTGTACAATAAAGATATTATTCATTAGTTTCACTTAGAAAGTTTTAATTTATTAATACAAAGGCTAAAAATGTAGAAAAAATGAATTAACTAAAACAGTATATAAACACATTAAATAATGAATTTTAAAAAAATAGTGTGTGAACGTATTAATTAACAAATGACTATTAAGCCGACATTTGCCAATTACGGTGTGAACACATTTATTACAATGCTTCTCTTTTAATATATAAGGGATATATACAATAAAAACTCTATAAATTAATATTCGATAAATTAATATACACTATAAATTAATATTTTTGGTTAATTCTAAGTGAACATTATTGGTTTTAATATTTTATAGATTCAGAAATTCTTCTTGGATTTTAATTATTTTGAACAAATCCACATAGTTTAGAATCAAATAAATAGATTTCAGAATCAATGAAATAGATTTCCAAAATCAAAATAATTGAATTATTATAAATCAGTCAAATAGATCGATTTGTTCTGAACTCAGCTTTGTAACAAAATAAAATATATATATATATATATATAATAAAACTACATCATATGTTTTATCATTTTCTATATCATGTGTTATGATAACATAAAACCTGTCACATATTTGTTGTTATTGTCGTTCTCACTTGATTGGTATGTTCTCTTTATTAATCTTTAGTTCTACGAATTTCTTTACCTTTGTTATTAACTTCCTCAAGACTATCTTCGTCATCATAACTTTTTTATTCAAAAAAATTATTAATTCGCCAGAACTTTTGAAGAAGACTACGTAAACTAGCACAAGCAAATATTCTCTTCGTTTGTGTCTTATAAGAAAAAAAGAATGCACATTTAAAAATTAAAAATGAAGATTTAAATATAACAAAAATTCTTTTGATAACATTTCTCAGAAAAACATTATGATGGTTAAACACCTCTTTGTCATTTTATGGAGTAGAATCCCCAGAAAACTCTTGTAAACCAAAACTCTTACGAGAGATTTTTGGTAAAATTTTATATTAATGTGTAAGTAAAGCTAAGATAGAGATGGTTGGTTAATATAAGTATATATTGTACTACTACGTACACGTTAATATAATAGAGATGGTGAAACTTGGTGGTTATCTCAGAGTCTTTCATATCAGTAATTGCTTATAATTATTAGGGAAACATAAACAATGTGTACGTAAGACTTGGGGCAAAAAAAATAATATTAAGAAACCCAATAATACATATCTATCAAAATAATAAGTTTCAATTCAATATTTGCTTCTTTGTATATTTAACTCATAAATCCACTCAAATCTAATTTTAAATCAAATCCTTAAGCAAATCATTATTATTAAATAACACCTGATTTTAAAATCAGAGAACCAATAGCAGTGATAAAACTAATATGAATATGAATTTTAAAAATTTAGTTAATGTATATACACTAAAATAAAATATTTTCTTATTTTATAAAAACATATACTTTTAAATAGAAAAAAATATCCAAAAATACTTTTTTTGTAAATTAACTCTATAAATAATAGAATATCAAAGTACCAAAATTATTAATTTATAAATAAAAAATTATGTATTTTATGCAATTAGAATTAGTTTGTTTCTTTTAGTTAACGGGGTTTTCCATTTTTTCTTTTGAAAACATGTTCTTTTTTTACTATCATAAAACAAATTTTATAAAAAAAATATATAAAATAAACTTGAAATCTTTATTTTATATTTTGTTTCAAACCCCATATTTTTTATGTACAGTATAAGTCTAAAAGGTCATAAATTATCTGTTAAAAGTCTAATGAATAGTCTAAGATTTATTGATGGGGGAAGTTAGACTAATTAAAGACATTTAACAGCAATGATTTTATTTAAGAGAAAATTTGACCATTAACTTGAAAGGTAAACTATCGGTTCCAGAAATGGTAGTTGAACCTAACACCTACACGCAGACACAATGCACAAAGACAGCAACCTTTGGGAGTCTTACATGACGCATTGCACAAAAGCTCACATGACGCATTGCACAAAAGCTCACATGACGCATTGCACAAAAGCTCTTTTACCTGTCAATACTTTAGCTGTTGACTTTTTTTGTTAGTCAAGATTTATATTAGTTATTCAAAACAGTGTATGATTCTTTGTATATTAAAGCGAATAATATAAAGACAAGCAGTCTCATTATTTATATTTAAAAGTTCCATTCCGAAGCAGAAACGTGTACACAATCCCCTCACATCAGCAACTAAAATAGATTTTCTGCTCGGAAATATCCTCCTACTTACGTAGTAAAATATGATTTAGAAAGAATGATTTAAAGATTTTAATTTAGTCATTGTTAGGAATCATAGGAGCAAAACGTAGACTGACTTAAGTTACAAGAAAAAAACGTAGACTGACTTACAATTTTCTTTGCTTGCTTTCACAGTTTCACCTGTGTACAAGCAAAGATTGTTACCTTTAAAAACAAAAACAAAAAGCATCTTTAGTTATTATTGTCTACAAGGTGAGTATAAGACTTTATCCATAATCCATATAGTACTGTAGTCTTGTTAAAGTGTTAAATTTTCAGTAATGCAGATCATTAAAATTCCACGTTCCTCCCAAAACAAGAGGCTTCATTTTGGTTCAATTAGATTTGAATGTTTACCTGTTTCTTGGATATTCTAGAGGTTTTAAAACGTCTTTTCTGTTGGAAATTTTTAGTCATTTCACACTGCACGTACACAAACTCTATTGCCATGCATGCCATCATACTTGATTGACCAAGGAAATTTATATCGGATTCAACTATAAACCATCACATTTAATTACAACTACATTCATTAGCTTTCTTAAGAACACGAGATTCTTCTATATTTTTATATTAATAAATAATCAGAAAGAATACTATTTCTTGAAATCTTTTCCTCGTGTCCATGAGTGTGTAAACAAGCCTTTTACGAAGATAATCATACCAAACGTGAACATGCATGCATTTTCCCCTCTTCTTTAATTTTATTCTTTTGCACGTTTGGTCAATCCACCCAGGGCCGGCTAAGATGAGGGATAAACGGTGTAACCGTCCGGGTCCAAACCGATGTCCCCTCTATCTTACTAATTAAAGGGTTTAATATTTTTTTTTTGTATTTACATATTGTTATATAAAAGTTCTAAAATATTTATTAAATTTAGCTGAAAAGAGGTTTTAAAATATTTTATGTGTAAATAATTTATTTTCACCCTAAATTTTATAAAGATGTCAATGATAAAAAAAAATAATCTATTTAAATGTTAACCAAGTGGTGGTAGCCTAGTGGTAATTTCTTGGGGTTTGGTGTATATCCATATCAGTTATGGATTCGATTTCTCCTGGGAACTAAATTATCATTACTTGGCTAGTCTGGGTTTGGGCTTTGGGTCAAGTGGTTTACATGAAGGATCGTAATCGATGATCGATTCACCCTTTGGCATTAATCGGACAGTATTCCAAACTCGGATCAATCGGTGTAATAACCAGTCTACTCTATAACATTAAGTGCATTCTTCTCGGGATCGACCGAATCAGCCGATAGAATTTATAAAAAAAATTAAGAAATTAATATTTTTGTTTTGCTCTGGCCCAAATATGTTGAGCCGGCCTTGTTTCCACCTCTTGTAGTATCTTTTATATCAGTCTTTTTAAAATACCCCCGTCGTCTGATATTTAATTACACATACATTTTTTAACAAACATTCTCATGTTATACATGTCTTCATTTTAAAACCCCAAAACATCGATCCGTACTAATCGTACAAGCATAGTTTTGTATTACTTTGTAAGTACGATATATGAACCAATTACAATACGTTAGAACAAAATAAATAAAGACCAAAAAAAGAAACTTCACGTATATTATTGAAGGTCCATATGTTCACACACGTAGAAAGACTTCATCTATAAAAAGCATTAGAATATTGTATACCCCAAAAATCATTGACTATATCTTTCGCCATTTACTTCAACCTAATTTCTTCTATTTATCACCTTCTTGTTAATTATTGATGTCCACAGATAACATGAACAACCCTAAACACTAAATCACATATATCGAGTTTTCTTCTAAACCAAAGATCAAATTTTCAGTAAATTTAGCAAAGGTGGATCCTCGAGACAGTGAGAAGATGTCCTTTGGAGGCGATGAAGCTGAGGAAAAGGAAGAAGCCCATGAAGATGAGAACTTGTTCCCGATCTTCTCGGCCCGATCCCAACACGACATGCGTGTTATGGTCTCGGCTTTGACTCAAGTAATCGGAAACCAACCAAGCAACTCTCACGATAGTCCTTCTGTGTACAATCCACAAGAAGACCCTAGTCAACCAGTTGCTCCAACTCATCTAGATCAAGGTATTTATATATATACATGCTCATATGACAATGTTATTATTTGGAAATTTTGTAAAGATTTCCATATCAAATGTAAATCTCAAACTTAAATAAACGTCCAGGTTGTAACTTAGATTTTGTCATAGAATGTGATTTAATATGGTTCTAAACACCAGACTAGGCGGCACATAGATTTTTTCAACCATAATGTGATTTAATACGGTTCTAAACACCAGTCTATAGGCGACGCATAGGAGGCAAATCGTAAATGAAAGGAACATTTTTTTTAAAAAAAAATTGATATTAAAATTTGGTCTTAGCGCTCACCTAGCCGCTAATCCCTATAAAACGATTAATTACCGCCTATCGATTTCTTGAACATATTTATTATTCTGGATATAGTTCGACATGTTCTCTCATATAGAGTTAGAGCAAGCACATTGATGACTCCGAGGAGGGGAGTTCAAGTTCTGTTTTTTTATTATTATTTTTTCGTTTATTTTTAAAAATAAATAAATAAATGAATCAATCGTGGTCGCTACGTGACATGGAACCCATGAAACAATGATAATACTGAATTATTGCAGAGAACTCGCGCGGCGTGGGTTCACCAAAATCAGATTATTTTAATATATTTTTTTTTTGGGAACAGTGTGAACTTTGTATTGATCCTTCAATGCTCATGCCCTTATAGCATGAACTTATTAACATATGAATCAAATAGTCAGGGTGAATATATCCAACATGTTATACCAGTAATTAACGTTTTCAATCTTTGTGATTAATATTAAGGAAACTCGATGAGGAGGAGACACTATAGAGGCGTGAGGCAAAGGCCATGGGGAAAATGGGCAGCTGAAATAAGAGATCCACAAAAAGCTGCACGTGTGTGGCTAGGGACATTTGAAACTGCTGAAGCTGCAGCCTTAGCTTATGATGAAGCTGCTCTTAAGTTCAAAGGAAGCAAAGCCAAACTCAATTTCCCGGAGATGGTTAATGTTACCAATAATGATCAGTTATCAAACTCTACTTATTATTCCTCCAATCAAATAGAGCCGCAAAATATACCATACTATAACCAATATTATCAAGATGGGAGTAATAATGATGTGTTAAGCTTTAGTTTAACAACTAGTACTACTACTGCTGCAACAACAACGTCTTCTTCTTCTGGTGCCTCTTCTAGGCCACAAGAAGAGCAAGATTATGCCAGGTTTTGGCGTTTCGGGGATTCTTCTTCCTCTCCACCTTCGGGTTTTTAAGATGATATATATAAGAGATTTTTGGGTTACTTGTGATGAAGAGATGATACGTTTCTTGAATGTTTCTGATGTTTAGTCTCTTATTTTCTTGTTATCTGAGCTACAACTGCTTTGGTCATTGACGAAACAAAACTCATGGTTCTAATCTCGATGGATAATAAATTGCATATTACATGTAGTCTTCATCCTCTACATACGGTAAAACTTCTATAAATTAATAATAATGGAACTTAAAAGTTTCATTAATTTATAGAGATATTAATTTACCAAAAGTATTAAAAAAAAAAAAAAAAATTTACCAAAATTTTTCTTATTCAGTTTGTTTTCTATTTTTTCTTTTAAAAGTCAAAAAATATGTGATTTTCGCAGATGTACATTATTTAAATTTTAGAAATTTGACTTTTATATTATTTTATTATCTTATTTGTGTATATTTTTATATTTCATAGAATTCTTATGTGGTTTTCAATAGAATTTAACTAAATATTACCAAAATATATTATTATTTTTATTGTTAATATAAAACCAATAATATAATGTTAGATTGTACTTATATAAAACTATATATAGATAGATTATTAATTTATAATTTTAGTGGGACTATATATTTATATGGAAATTTTAAAAATATTATTAACTTATTATTTTATCGATTTGTGTCATATTTACACCGGTCCAAGTTGTGACCGAAAAAATTTATTATTTTATAAAATATTAATTTATTGAGTAATAATTTATAAATCTTCTACTGTATTATTATTTCGATAGTTCCTAAACTATATATTATCTTAGTTACATTGATGTACACATGCAAACATAAATGTCACATTATGGTGCGATTAAATGCCAGCTGATTAGCGAAACTTTCCTTATATATTTTGATATATCCGTTAGTGTATGACCAAAGCTTAAACTCTCTAAATATTTCTTCCTTCGGTTTAATTATGTGTTCTAGCAATAAAAAAAGATACAAAATCAAAAGTTAATTAAAAAGAAAATTCATGTGATGAGTTGCATACAATAGCTCTCCTATATTAATATTAGTGTTAAGTTTGTCGTTTAAATTGTCAAAATTCGGCGACCAGCATGTGCACTTTCAAAACATCATCCAGAACTTGTAATGAGTAGTAAGATAAGTTAATACATTTTTTGTTCGGTTGTGTTAGATTTCACAATGATAAACACCGCCACAACTTTGCTCAACGACGCTGACTTATGATGAAACCGACTTGGACTTGGACTTCAAAGTCTTCCACCACTTGGATTCATTTCCTAGTGGAACTCTTATCAATTGGGTATCACTAGTATATACAGTGACACGTATCATGTATCTTCAACGAAGATAAGAATACCACATCACCGCCTAAATGATTTTTTGGTTTTGTAGGTGTACTTCATCAAGTTGTTGTGTGATGTTAGTAATACAAATGAATAAAATCACGACATAACATAAGAAACAAAATGTGTTTCTAGGTTCGATCCTGTTAGTATTAGTCAACTATGTTTGGTACTAAAATGAAGTAGACAGATTTCGAAGTATCAGGATGATTCAAGTCGACAGACTTAGAATTCAACGAGTATTCCTAAGAACAGACACGTCAATAGATAATAAGAAAACAAAAAAAAAACAGGGTTGACTTTTAATAACGGCTGGTGAGTGTCCAAAACACCAACCTTCTCTCATTTCCACCTTTGCGGCCTTATAATTTCTCTCCACCGTTTCACCATCCAATTTTTTTTTTTTCAAACTTCTCGGCCCAAAGCCGGTTTACAGACGTCAAGAAAACTCACATGCATCCAAAATAATAGGAGTGGACGTTCAGGTACCCATTCGGGTTCGGTTCGGATCTATTAGGTTTCGGGTTTTCGGGTTCATAAATTTTAGTCTCATTCAGATATTTCTAAATTTCGGTTCGGATAACCCATTTAAATTATTTTTAAATTTTTAAAATTGATTAAATACTTTAAATTTTTAAAAATCTATAAACAAAATAATATAATACAAATAATTGAATAACATAAGTCAAAATACCTAAAATTAACATGTAAATTAGTTTGATTTAAATATTTGGATTGTAAATCAATAATTTTTTTAAATATTTTTGATATTTTAAGTGTACTTTAGCAATTTTAGACATGTATGTTTGACTATCTATTATTATAAAGAAAGGTTTTCTATCACTATATGTTGCCACGTCACTAATTCGGTAATTGAGCATCTGACACGTGTCCAGGTAAACCAAAACACACCGTATCATTTTCTTTTTCGCATAGTCTGTTGGGCATGTCTTATTAATTTATCTGGATACATTGTTGAGGCCGTACCAAAATAGACCGTGATCTGATGTATTCTAAACACTGCATTTTTCTAATTATGTCTCCTATGGTTCACCTACGCCGCCGTAGGCACGTTTTGGGTTTCCATGGAAATTGATTCTTCTTCCTCCTGATCCAGCAATCAATCGGCGCCATAGCGAATTTAGAGTTTCCAGTGAACTATTCATCTTTCTTCCTACTGATCAAGTAATCAATCAGTTACGGAATCATTGCTATTAAATTCTCCCTTTAAATCAATCTACATGATCTCTCTTCAATGCCGTTTGAGCTCTTCAAAGGCGGTGATGGTTCGACTATAAAAAAGGTTAGCATCCTATCAATCTATTAGAACAAAACAATCTCCTTATTTTCTGAAAAATGGCTAAAGAGAGACATTGCATGCCATCGGAAGAGGAGAAAACCGACAAGTATAGGTGACGTCGACACCAGATATTAAGGCAACAACCATTAGATTCAACCTTTGATTAACAGAAAACAATAGTGTCCGGTTGACTTCACCTCTTTACCTTCTCCTATTGATACCACCGTGTTTGATTTTCTAGACATTACCTCTTTGGTGTTTCAAAAAAAAATAAAAGACATTACTTCTTTAGCTGGATTACCTGGAAAGGTAAAACGTTTTCAGCATCATTGTCTTTTCTTGATGACTTGGTCGATTTTCAGATCAAACTGTTGCTAATAATCTTCATTTTTCCTTCAGCAATCCAGGCCAACAACAACAACTGCAGTTTTACGTTCAACTTGAGCTTCAAATTTTGTCGACAACGTCTGCTTCTGTTTACGATTTTTATATTGCCATTAATTGTTGATGCAAAAAAAAAATCTAAAAGCCTACATGATATTTTATGTACATAGATACTTAGAAGATCTTAGTGCTGCAAGCAGTCAAATTATTCTGTTATCATTGCATTTTAAGATCACAAGATTCTGTAGCTAACTTGCCACTTCAACTATACAAGGTAACATAAATTCTTTGAACCTCATTCTAAAAGCATCATCTATGGTCACTTTAATGGGTATTTCTTTTCTGCATATCAGTGGTCCATGTTTGAAGTACAAAAAGTGGTACTTGGAAAACAAGTAAATATCTTTTTTTATTTAGTTCTGGATCTTTTCCTCTTAAATAAAAGATGTAAGATGGCTTTTCTTATTTCCAGATAGACTACTCTTCGTAATCCTGTTTGTAACCTCTGTACATATGATGGTGAGAGATGCTTATTCAAACTTTAAAATTGATTAAAATATTTGTTTCCTCTGTAGGAATTATTCAAACACTGATGTTAGGATGTGAGGGACTATGCCATCCAAGAAGCATGCAACACTGCTACATCATGGAGTGGGCTCACCAATTTTTACAGGCGTCATGGCTCTTGTGATGGGCGTGTTCACCATGATCAGAGTGACAAAAAACGTCCCAAGGAAACTAACCGAGTCAACCTTATACTCGAGCCCCATGTACTGTGACGATGCGTCAATGAACAAGAGTGCGATGCAGTCAGAGAAAATGATGGTGCCTGCAATCTCAAGGGAATACTTCATGGCCATCATGAAAAGAATGGCTGAGCTGGAGCAGGAAGTGAAAGCTTTCTTTGGTATTTTAAATGAAAGCTATAAAATGGAAGATAGGATTCTATCTTACTGGATTTCATAAGTTTCACATAGACCAGAGTGTAGCTTCTTTCTTTTGTCAAACACCTTAAAGTTGTTGTTTTTTTTTCATTATTATGGTTACAAATGTGTTTCTATGTGCTCTTGATTTGTTGAAAAAGAGGTAGTAGAGAAGACAAATTACACAAGCACATAACATGGATAATACATATTTTATTCCCATAAGTTATGTTGATGAATGTTTACGAAAAAATATAACGGACATGATGAGTGACTGGCTAATCAATAATAGATAGATTTAAAATCGTAAAGGAACAAAAGCATTTTAGGTGATGTTGAGAAATATGCTTAAAAAAAGGAAATCTGCTACATCTATTTGTATTCACACCTGGCCGATTACATTGTATTATCAAGAGTAGTAATTACGCAAAAACAAACCAAATGTGCGACTATCTTTAAATAAACCACCTAGGAAACAAATTATTTTGCTTAGGTCTGTGTTCCATTTATGATTTATTACAGATTTAGGATTTAATTTACAAGTCTGAAGCTCATAAGAAAACACATCTAAGTTAATTATAAAATGTAACACATCTAAGTTAATTATAAAATGTAACACATCCAAATTAGTTATAAAATGTAACTATGCATGGTCATATTTTTCCCTCGCAGACGATGCTTCTCGGACCTCTAATGAATTAATCTGATGCTTCAAAAACTATAACAGTAATGCTTCTTTGATGGTCTGTTTCTCTGTCTTGGTAGGCTTCTTCATCCATTTTCTCTTCTATATTTAATTCGTATCTTTACCACTCGAATAGCTCATATCTGGTGGGTAATACTATGAAAGCTTCGATTATAATTTTGAGGATATTAGCGTTTGCACATATTGATAAGAACTCGCTACAACCGAGTAAACTAACTAAGTAACTATGGCGGGTATAACCATATCATGGTTCCTGTAATCATTGGGTTTATGGTGAATATAACCATTAACAGATTTCGCAAATTCATCTCTCATGGTTTCTGTTATTCTATTAGGTTATAATACTTATTAACAAATAAGTATAATATACATAGGCTAAAATAATAACACACCTTAAAGGAATTATTGGGCTGCACAGAGTTGTATATATACGTCACTGCATTCTTTTTATTAGGACATTCAGTCAATAAAAACCCATGTGAATCATGTCAGTTAAAATCTGACCTTCTTTCTAACAATATATTACATAGCATAGACATGTTATTTCTAAATACACAGTGTAAGAGAAGTTACTTAATTTACAAAACTATATAATAAATATCATGAAAATCAAACCCTTAATATTATATTTTATACACAAATACTTAGTATAAATACAGCTATTCCTAAAAACAATAAAAATTATTAAACACAACAAAAGCATTTAAAACTATTGCTAACAAACATAATATATCTTATCACATATAATCTCTCCTCACATAAAACTTTCTGAAAGACAAAAATCATTATCACACATATTTTTTTTTGTAAATGAAATCAAAAACACAAACCACAACATTATAAAAAACAATAACTTATATCACAAGAAAAGTATATCCCGCCCATAGGGCGGGCCTCCCCTAGTTTACATATATTTACATGTATTTTGAACAACTTCAAAGTATTTTATATATATTGAATGTTTTTTATATACATTAAATATAAAAATAACTAATATATATAGATATATAAATCTCTTTCGGATATATTCAGGTATCCGAAATACTTCGGTTCGGATCGGGTTCGATTCTTTAAATACCAAAATTTTGAACCCATTCAGATATTGAATTAATTTCGGTTCGGGTTTGATACTACTTTTTTCGGATCGGGGTCGGTTCGGTTCTTCGGATCCGGGTTTTTTGCCCAGCCCTACAAAATATATTAATGATTTGTTTCTAAAAATTATTGGTTATTAAATTATTACTGTTATTTGATCAAACGCTTGTTGTGATTCCATTCGGTTTCTTCCGGTAAGCAGCCTCTAAGCATTCTTTAGCTCGATGAACCTTTGATTGGAGATAAAAGCTTCCGCTTTTCGCATTGCGTTCGAACAAGTTGTCATATCTCTGCAACATAAACATACAAATAATGTTAAAATAAATAACAAAAATTGCAATGATGCCAAGAGGGAAACAAACCTTAAGAACCTCGTCCCAAGATGACTTCTCGGTTACACCAAGAATCTGTCTAGCTTCAGGTTCAGTTAACCCTCTGATTCCTCTCTTAAGATTATGCATTGCTTCACCCGCAACCCCGGATTTTGTTGCATCTGAGACACACATGCCCCAACAATTTTGTTACCATTAGTACCAAAAGAACCAAACAAGAAACGAAGATTGTGATTAAAAAAGAAGAAGAGAAATACTTGCAAGTGCCTGACGATATGCCTGAGTACAAGCCCTGATTATCGCTCCAGAGCCGTAGACTATCAAAGTCGCAAGAATTCTAGCCGCCTGTACAAATATAGTTTCACCCAAAACCATTAAGTTTCCTATGTTCAAACTTCACAACAAGTAATAGATTGCGTCGATTTCACTCCTTCTAACCTTCTTGTTTTTTAAAAAAAAAGTTCTTAAATATAACCACAAGCTGATTATGTAAATCAAACTGGTCCTACTCATAAAAGTGGAACTTTGAAACTACGGAAACTACATACCATGGCTGACGATTGAAAACTAACGAGAGAAGTAGTCCTTTAGGTTACCTGAAATATGAATTACAGTCTTATGAAATCCATAAAAGAAGTAGAATCATAGACAGATACAAGTTCTAGTGTCTGAAGAACATTGACCTTACCAGGAAATAAAAAGGACGTTAAGCTGTTGAATTTCGGAGGTAGGGATTCGCCAACCTAAACTGCGTTCTCGGACAGAGGTGGGAGTTTCAGGTGATGATGGTAGAACAAATAAGAACCCTAACCGTCGTCGGAAGGTTGATTGGGCCTACTTGTTTTCAATTCAAGCCCACTACTGTACTGTGCTTATTCGGTTACAGTCCCCCCCCAATGCTTCAAACAATTCCTTTGGCCCCATATCTTTCATTGTTACTTTTTTCACAAGGCATTATAACACCACTCATTTTAATGTAATTTTGATAAAATATTCTAAAATCAAAACTTGATCGTCAACCTTTAGTATACGTTGTACCAAAGTACAAAATGTTTCTCTATACTTCTTTCGTTTTGAAATTTGATTACTGGGTTGATGCAATGTACTTATTACAATCATACAAGTCAAGTTTGTTAGTCATCATGCTCAAATTTTTCCATACTCAACTTGATCTTCTCAAGAAACAGCATTTGTCAAGTTATTAAGCATTAATGAAGCTACTGGATCTGAATGTCTTATATTCTGATGTAATGCGTGTATAAACTTGTGATTACTTTACTTACCTCCAGGTTACTGTTCTCACAGAAGGTGACACACCAAGTGGGATCAAAGCATCAGGACTCGCCTTTTGAGAACTCAACCTTGTTTGGCTCCTAGTCATTCGTCGACTCTGCACCAACGGCTTCTGCTTCATGCCCGCTTGTCTGATGAGCTCTTTGGGTCCCATTGGACTCTCTGGTTCTTGATGCTTTCTCCTTTTGCTCAGTAGATTCCAAAGTAGTTTCTCTTCGTTTTCACGGTTTCCCTCTATGGCTACACGCTAAATGGACAAAAAAGGGTGAAGAAACCTTTCAGTGTTGAGCTTTACAAACCAAATACTGAAGTTACCTTTCCGTTAATTGAATGCTCTGCTTGCTTCTTCTGACTTGCGGGTAAAAGAAACCTGGCAGTGCTAGTCATTCTCTGAACTTGATCTTCAGCCTTTTTCAGCCTTGATAAAGCCTCCATCTTCGTCTCTTCTGCAAGTCTAATCCTTTCTCTAGCGTCTTCCAGCTCTCTCCTTGTATCTGCGTTGGCTCTCTCCATCTCATTCACTACATTCATCAGTTGCACACAAGGGCCAAGCTTTACTTCAGCTGCCAAGCTCCCTACGTACTTGGACATCGGGTTACACATATTCTTCGATAAAGCCTGCATAAGATCACTAACACCAGTATCTACTGAACCAAGCAACTCGTCGATGTTATTAAATAGGATCCGAAGGAGCTTCACTGTGGCTGGAAAAGTGTCATCGTTTTGCCTGTGAACCGAGCTTAGGTAATTAAGAGATTTTTGGATGAATTCTTGGAAAAAGTTTCTGCGATCGTCAAGCATCTGCACAATGTCTCCCCTATGCGAATTCACTTGTGTTTCAATGTGCTTAAGCATATGGACTAGCTGTCTCAGTTGCCCCTTATGCTTGTGCAAGATCTCTTTTCCGGCAGATTCGACTTTAGCCGCATAGTTTTCTTCCTACAGAATTCAGAATACTGCAAGTGAACTTCTACCAACAAAATCTACTTGGCATTAGACATAGTTATATATAAACTGCAAGTTCAAAACCCCACATATAGACTATATATGGTTTGTCAAACAGCTACTATAAATTACACCAAAACATCTGAATCCTGACAAGTGACAACTGGTTCACATTCAATATATTGCAGAACGATTAGAGTCTAGATACGCTACAGTTTCAGAATGAAACTTGACTTGAGTCTTGACTCGCTATAGTTTCAGAATTAGATTGACTGGTTTGCATTCAATCTATAGCAGAACTAAACATACTGATTAAGCAACTACCAGAATCAAGCTTGACTAGAGACATTACAGTTTCAAAATCATACTAAATAGTTCACATTCAATCTATATTAGAATCAAAATCTACTTGGGATTAGACAGAGTTATATATTAACTGCAAGTTCAAAACCCACGTGTATATGATTTTTCAAACAAGTAGCATAAATTACACCAAAACATAAGAATCATCCAATATATAGCAGAAATTGGTAAACATAAATAACAAATTTCCCCGACTGAGACTTGACTAGAGTCCAGACACATTAAAGTTTCAGAATTAAATTTGATTGATTCACATTCAATCTATAGAGATTACATATTGATTAAACATCAAGCTTGACTAATCATATTTGATACAATTCACCTTCAATGTATAGCACAAATAGGCATACATATATCAGAATGACAGTTGACTAGACACATTACAGTTTCAAAATCATACTAAATAGTTCACATTCAATCTAAATCAGACTTAGGCATACATATGTTACAAGAATCTTGACGTATATTACCTTTGAACGGCGAGTTTGATTGTTCACATCACTACACCGAGCTTCGTTTTTGTTAGTATTATCCATATGATATCTTTCCTGGTGAATATAAAGTATGATAAAAAAAAATTAATACAATAGACACATGGTGCCACGAGAAGGTAATTGAGTAACTAACTCACAGTGTTGAAGATGAAGGTGGAGAGTCTCCCTTCTCTCTCCATCTCCGACGTTTTCAATCCAACAAGCTTCATCAAAGGAATCGCCAATGACTCGAAAACTTCCCCTGCCTTTACAATTTCCAAAACCTCAAATCAGATTCTCTAAACTTCTCAGAATCGTTCAAATCAAGCTCGAATCCACAAATCTAGAGAATACGAATCTACTAAGGAATCGAATCTAGCGAGGAACCGGATCTAGCGAAACGAGAGAAGAGAATGCGATCTAGTTACTTCGGCGAGGCCCGATGCGATCTGCGATTGGAGTTGACGGTACGCCGTTTTCACTTTCTGGTTGCGATCGATCAGCGTCGCGAGCTTATCTCGGAGATCAGGCGGCGGCGGTTCTGCTGCGGCGGTTTTCTCCGACGTGTATTGCGAGGGAGAGGCGTGGAACCTCCGTGGGTATAGCACTCTTGGCGGGAGCTCCATCGTTGGGATCCGAAACTTCAAACAGTTCGTTCAAATTCGAATTTGAAAAAAAGTCGTTTGTAAAATATCTAATGATTACGTACGTGTTGCGATATCATTGGTTGATAACAGTCGTTTGTAAATATCATCACACAGGATTCAAACTACAAAGTAAAGACAAATGGGCCCAGTGCATGAATCTCTCCTTTTTGAGTTTATATATTCTGGCCCACATACTAACTAAAGCAAACCCAGCCCATTATTGATTAACACGAATTAATTTTCAATTGAAGTTTTGGGATATGCTACAATTGCAAAAACATCAAATCTGTTTTTTTAGGAGGTGTTATTCAGTGAGTGTTTTTAAATCAATTATTATTGTTTTGTAATCCATTAAAATTAAATTTTTTAAGAAAGTTAAGTTGATAGATTCTAAAATATCTTCAGTATGCCTTGAATTTTGAATTCACATTTGTTCATGGGAATCCATAGGAAATGATTTGAAATCATTTCAAAATACAGAGAATTTTAAATTATTTAAGAGGTGAATTACATTAGATTTTGAAACAGAATTTAGAATCATCATTTGAATAACAATAGATTGTATTTAGATTTAAGCTCTATTGAAATAAATGATTGAATAACACCATCTTAATCTCATATGGTAGATTTTCAGGCTTTGTTTTCTGATCAGACCCTTCATTTTTTAAATTTTTTTTATGATGAATTATTTACAAAAGGATATTTTTGTGTTCTAAAATCCAATGTAAACAAGTGTTTCGAATTAATTTGACTCAAATGAGAAATCTGCGGGTAACAAATTAGCCAAAACAGTAGATTAAGAAGAAGGATGACAAATCAGTCATAAGGACTCAAATTAGAGACTAATAATTAATTGAAGATAAACGAACAAGTAGTTAAGACAACAACCCAACTAACTAATTAAACCCCAAAACGTCCAGACGCAGACGATCCCTCACAGCTAATACCACCAACCAAAGCCGTAGCCGCAGCAACCGCATTGTTCCTCTCCAAATGGCAGAGCTGACGCAGCTTAGTGGGAACATACCAAATTGAGAGGCGAGGATGAGCGTTAAACACAGCGTCTATATCCCACCCATGACGACAAGCTATGTCCACAAGTGGCTTGTAACATGCCTGACGCCACGACCCAACGTTCTCGCCGCGTTCTTTAAACGCTCTTCTAAGTGCGTTTGATGCTTCTTCGTCTAGACAGTGGAGTGCGTAACAATGAACGTAGTGTCTCATCTTTGGCTTGTTTATGTAACTCGCCCCTGATTTCTTGGCGAATCTGAACACCTGATTCGTCACCTAATTTTCGAAAACATAAAAAAAATTATTTAACAATTCAAAACAAATATAAACGAGAAAAATTTCATAAAGAAAATTAGATATTTTATTTGCTTAAGCTTTCTGTAAAGTGTAAACCTCAGATTTTAATAACGTGCGTGTGTACAAGCTATTGCACAGAGCTCATAGTCATAGATTCTGTACTATGACGAAGACTCTTTATTATCCACTGAGCAATAGCCTGTATCTAAATATTATAGTGCAAATGTATATACAGACAACAAATTTCCCTATTTATTGTCGAAAAAATCTAAAGCATATATACATGCTCATGTGTGTGAATGCATGCAGAAATTGAATCTAAATGCATGAGGACAACGTATCTAGCTATCTCATGTCGTTTTAGGTAAAAACAAAAGAACGACTGTGTCCTATCCCTAACTCGACACGTTGTCGTACGGTGACTCTGTCAAAACTTTAAATTGAAATCTAAACTATATTTATTCAGACAGGATTCAAACAAAAAGATAAAATAAAATTCAGAAACCTATAAATCTTTGCCAGTCATAGCAAAGCAAAAATAAATAAATTAAACTTTGAAAACTCTGAGAACTTGTGACTTGTCAAAATTGCTTTAAAACAGCTGTCCATGATAATAGCTAGGGTTCACCTACCATACCTCATTAACTCCGACACAAAAATGTATATATTTTATAAAAATTATAACCTAAAGTAAACGTACGGCTAAGATCAAATCTTGTGAGATAAAACGAAAGAAAGATACCTTGGTAGGGCATTTTTCGCCACGATCTTTAGCAATGGTCTGAACCTGAAGAAGGAACTCGCGGCATTGTTCGTACAAATGGAAAAGATAATCCAAACCGTTCTTTTTGCCACGTGCCACTTCCCCTGGCTCCGTTACAATAAACGGATGCTCCCTTTGTCTCTCCATCCCCAACGCACCACCACTTCCTCCGTTAACTATATCCATCGCGTCTTCATCCTCACCGTCGTCATCGGTTTCCACTGACGTTACAATCACTTTTTTTCTGCGTCTCTGCTGTTGCTTCTTCGTAGTTGACTGCCCTGCTTCCCAATAACCTCCTCTTCCTCCACCGTTGATCCCCGCTGCATGATCAGTCTGGTCTTGTCGATGAACTGGCTCCTCTGATAACCCTGTCCAGTCATCTGTATTTAAATATTTTAATTGTCACAATCACATATAGCTTTTGGAATCTCTATACAAGATAATTAATCCTCGTACTTCTTGCTACAGCTTGCATACTCTATACAAAAATAGCTCTACTATACACGAATAGTGACATTTGATCTAATTTTTTTTTTTGCTAAGTTCAAGAAATAGGAGTTTCCTGTTATATTAAGGATTAACTTATACACAGGTGTTCAATTTGAAGTAACATTTGAGAGCTTCTAATTGCTATATATCTACATATATTAAAAAAAAAAGCAAAATAATAAAATTATTATAACCATATCATACAAATATATAGTTGTTAATATAGATTGCAAAAATTCATAACCCTATATTTATCAGTCACGAGAGCAAATGTGTAGATATTAGTTGACAAGCTCACATAGTTAAAGTGATTATCAAACGCACATATAAAACGTCGAAAAATTATTAATATTGTTATGTATGTATTATACCTTCTTGGGAGAGAGCATCAAGGGCGTGATGAGTGCCGGAATCACCTGCGGCGGAGAGTATTAAATGACGGCGTCTAGATGACTCCTCCTCTTCCTCTTCTTGCAAACGTCTCCGTTCAGCTCTAACCGCAGCTTTGATACCGTACCGTTCACCAACGAGAAGCTCCCAACGAAAGATATGAGAGAGACTATTCATCATATCTTCAAGCTCCTCGTCCTTCATGCCCACAAGCGTGCTCGCCGTAAAACCTAACTCGGCTATCTTCGCCGCCGTGTAAAAACGTACTCCATAAGGACCGAACAAACCTTCTAAACCGCCTAGTCGCATTCCAAACGCTGCCGTTTGCGGTGTTGCCGGCGGTTGCTGCTGCTGCTGCGGTTGAGGAATCGGAGTTGGTGCTTGGACCATTGCTCTAGTTGGGTTCCATCGGAATAAGCCACTCGTGAAACCTTCAGGATCCATATTTTTTTTTCTCTCGTTCTTTACTCTTTTTGAGGAGACTGCTTTACTGTAAAAATGACCACTCAAGCAGTATCTATATATATATAAAACAGTAAAGAATCTAGAAAATAAATACTAGGTTATAAAATATTCTTATTTTATATCGCTGTTTTTGCAATAAAGTGCGTATGTAAATTATAAAGAAGATATGTGTCTTGCTGGAAAATTGACAGTTGGGGACTAAACAAGTCAAACTTTTTCTTTCATCGACATTCTTTTTCTCTACCCCCAATTATGACACTTGTTTCATATGACACGTTAGATTATAAAATGATTAGTAAAAATAAAATGATGTTTCCCCTCTTACTTTTTCTTTTTGTTTATTTTTTTTCTTATACTCATTGTTTTTTACTTCCCTCTTATCCAATTCTTACGTTTTTTTCAATAGCTTTCTTTATTTTCCCTCTTTGAAAGCTTGCAATATTTTGTATATTCATTATTTTCTGTAACGATCTATTCGCATAAGTACGTATGTTTTGACATATATAATACCAAACTCTTTGCGGCAGTCCAGGAAGAAGTATATTTGACGTTATATGAATACGTTATCTTATACTCCCTCCGTTTCTAAATGATTCATATTTTAGAAAAATATTTTGTTTCTAAAAGATTCATATTTTACATTTTCAATGTATGTAATAATGGTAAATTGTAAATTTCAAAAACATTCATTATGTTTACTGAATTTTGATTGGTTAAAAATCAATAGCTAAACACATAAAATAATGCATTTATTATCAAAATTCTAAGTGTTTTCTTAATAAATGTGAAAATTCTAAAACATAGATCATTTAGGAACAGAGGGAAGGGAGTATAGACTCCTATAGAACACGCCTTATAAATAAGAAGTTTTGGCATTGTAATAGTAAGTTTATAATGGGAAAAGAAAAATTATAAGATAAGATATTTCAGCATTGTCGGAACGCAAATCTTGCAAACATTCAATGAGGTTTGTTAATTTATAGCAAAAAGAGCAAGAAAGGAACTACTGTTTCCAATGCCGTAGTAGATTCCGATTATTAATTTACAAGGAATTTATTTTCATTTTAGGAAAATAAAATTAATAAATGCAAAAGAGTAAACCTCAGAAGAAGGGGGTCAGGAGTGTTTCAGTCTATCTAATCCCACAAACTTTGGGGTCTAATCCCTTCTACGACCACGTACGTGTTGTCATCTCACTGTTTTATAATTACACCTATCCCCTAAAAGTAAAGCGTTTAAACCAGAAAACCTTTTAAAAACAGTTTCCAAAACTGATAATTTTTTGGTCAAAAGAATGAAACTATAATCTCAAACAGATAAGCTACAATGCTAAATCCAAGCATCAAAGTTGTTTTTATTCCGTTATAGGTACTATTAAATAATGTGAAAGGGATAATTAGATAAACATTACTATGGATACACAATTATATAAGGTTTCTTCCTGTGAAGAGTAGCTTGTTCCAACAAAACCAAGGCTCTGTCAATAGCAAAAAAAAAAAGAGTTAAACCAAAATTTAGTTATAGTTATAGATAGTAGATACTATATACGATCATAATCAAAATTGAAACGTTGGATTAAATGAAAACCAAAAAAAAAAGAGAGTGAACAATCCTAGTTAAGTAAGGCTTGTCAATAAACAGTGAACACAAAGAATAAGAAAAAAGGACAGAACAAAGCCGTTTGAGCCGATAAGAACACTGTAGTGTGGAAAGGTAACCAATGAAGAAACGACAGGTCAAATCAGAGTTCTGAGAGTCTGACAATTTTAATGGTCAGACTGTTTTATTTGACTGTCTCTCTCTCTCTCTCCCTCACACACAGCCCTATCCTCCCCTCTCCGCATCAGTCCCTCAGTTTCCTCTTACCTTTACTTTGTCCTTTCTCTCATTTCCAACATTTTTGTTATATAATTTTACTACATAAGAAATATGTATTGTATATTAACAAAAAAATGTATATGTTATTATCTAATGTATATACCATCATGTTCATCATTGCCGACTTGCGACTTTAAAACTGTTCTTACCACTGTTATTTAACTGTTGGAGTTTTAGAATCCTGAAAAGATTGATTAATGTGTTCTAACGCCCCTATCATCATCACTACCCTATTTTTTCATTATTAAATTAGTCTTTATTAAAAAAAAAAGAAAATGATTTAATATACAGCTAATATTCTGAAACTCTTAATTTACCTGATAACCTACAAAAAGAGAAAAGAAATACGTAACAAATAAATTGGCCAATATGATAAAAAGGCCAACATTAACCGAATAACACACCCATAAGATTACAACTTGAGAAAAAACACATATCGCTTAAAGGGCCTTAAAAACGAGAAATGGGCCTAAAACTCGGCCTAGTCTCATTTTAAATTAAAAATGTGGATGACGTTGACTGCTCATCACCCCCTAACGACTTCCTCCTTCATTTTTTTACCCAAAACGGATCTTACTAAAACGACACCGTATTAAGCTCCCACGAACCTTCTTCCACCTATTTTCTCCGCATCTTCAATAGCTGTCAAACTCTTCGCGCGATCTCGATGTTTCCGTGAGGTAAATCGAGAGATCAGAGATGAAGCTCCCAAGCTGGGCTTTGATCTTCCTTACTTGTAACCTCACCTTCTCCACGATCTCTGCTTTCCGTCTCAGTCGAAGTCAACCAACCGAACGAATCTCAGGTCAGTTAAGTCTCGGATGAGCTTAGCTCCGTGGTTGATCACTTTAGTCTCTGCGAAATCGAATTAAAATTAGGGTTAATGATTGTTTCTAATTGAATCTAGGAATAATTTAAATCTCACAAAAAAAATCACTTGAAATTTTTGAAGTGTGTCGTTTTTTGTTTGTTATTGTTTACAAATTGTTGAACTGTGTGTCGTTTTTTGTTTGTTATTGTTTAGAAATTGTTGAAGTGTGTGTCGTTTTTGTGTTTGTTATTGTTTAGAAATTGTCGAAGTGTGTGCCGTTTCTTTGTTTGTTACTCCCTCTATTTCATTATAAGTGTCATTCTTACAGCTGTGCACACGGATTAAGGAAACAATTAATTTTACATATTTCCTATATAAAAACACAATTACCTATATATCTAACCTTATTTTAACCAATAGAAAAACAAATTACACCTAAAACTAATAAATTTTGCATTGAAAACCGCAAACGACACTTATTTTGTAATGTAAAAAATTCTCTACAACGAACACTTAATATGAAATGGAGGGAGTATTGTTTAGAAATTGTTGAAGTGTGTGTTGTTTTCTGTTTGTTATTGCTTAGAAATTGTTGAAGTGTGTGTCGTTTTTTTGTTTGTTTGTTATGTTTTTAGGTAGTGCTGGTGATGTGTTAGAAGATGATCCAGTGGGGAGACTAAAAGTCTTTGTTTACGAGCTACCAAGCAAATACAACAAGAAGATACTTCAGAAAGATCCAAGATGTCTCACGCACATGTTTGCTGCTGAGATTTATATGCAACGGTTTCTTTTGTCTAGTCCTGTAAGGACACTTAACCCCGAGGAAGCTGATTGGTTCTACGTCCCTGTGTACACTACCTGTGATCTAACGCCTAATGGGCTTCCTTTGCCGTTTAAGTCGCCGAGGATGATGAGAAGTGCTATTCAGCTTATTGCTTCTAACTGGCCTTATTGGAATCGTACTGAAGGAGCTGATCATTTCTTTGTTGTGCCTCATGACTTTGGGGCTTGTTTTCATTACCAAGTAAGGCAAATCTTCTGCTCTGGATCTCTTGTGGTGTTGCACTAGTTAGTGTTTTTCTTCATCTATGGTTTTGCACTAACTTTGATGTGTGTCATTGTGCTCACCAAAGTCTCTTTTTAAGTGAGTTTCTTGTTTGTTCATTTAAATTTTATTCGTATTTCTTGTAGTGGGTTAGAGTTGCGTTGGCGTATTTTTCATCGTTTGACCCTGTAGTTCCTTTGGGAGTGAACTAGGAACCACAATTCTATTAGCTAGTGTTGAGCAGATTTTTTCATACTCATTAGTTTACTGCCTTAAATGGCAAGCAATTTGCAAATCCCTTTTTGATGCCGAAGGAACTGTTATCACCAGCCAATATGTGCCTGCGATAGTGCTAGCCTATGATACGCGTTGATCTCTTGTTTTGTGTGTTTGATTGTGGTAGGAAGAGAAGGCGATAGGGAGAGGGATATTACCATTGCTTCAACGTGCTACGTTGGTGCAGACGTTTGGACAGAGGAATCATGTTTGCTTGAAAGAGGGTTCGATCACTGTTCCTCCATATGCTCCGCCGCAGAAGATGCAATCACACTTGATTCCTGGGAAGACTCCTCGATCTATCTTCGTTTATTTCCGAGGATTGTTTTATGATGTGGGGAATGACCCTGAGGGAGGTTACTATGCGAGGTAAGTAGCCAAAAGAGTCTCTTAAATCTCCAAAGACACTTTATAATTGATCTACTGATTGGGAATTTGGGTTATACAACCTTACATATCAATGAGGATTCATGTAGTTATATTACCATCGGTGAATTTTTCTCATAATCAGTGATGATGTATTGTTTGTCAAAAATGGGCACAGGGGTGCACGAGCTGCGGTATGGGAAAACTTCAAGGACAATCCGCTCTTCGACATCTCAACAGAGCACCCAACAACATATTACGAGGACATGCAGAGAGCAATCTTCTGCTTATGCCCACTTGGATGGGCTCCATGGAGTCCAAGACTAGTTGAAGCCGTGATCTTCGGTTGCATCCCTGTGATCATAGCAGACGACATTGTACTACCATTTGCAGATGCAATCCCTTGGGAAGACATTGGTGTGTTTGTGGATGAAAAAGATGTTCCTTACTTGGACACGATACTCACATCGATCCCACCAGAGGTTATACTGAGGAAACAGAGGCTGTTGGCTAACCCGTCTATGAAACAGGCGATGCTGTTCCCGCAACCAGCTCAACCAGGAGATGCGTTTCATCAAGTGTTGAATGGGTTGGCTCGTAAGCTGCCTCATGATAGGAGTGTGTATCTGAGACCAGGTGAGAAGGTGTTGAACTGGACTGCAGGACCAGTCGCTGATCTGAAACCTTGGTGAGAGGACAAATGTGATTTGATACAAATTGATATTGGTTCCTTGTCTGTATTTTTGTAGAATTGTTTTGTATAAACCATCAACTTAGCAAGTGGCATTGTGTTCTGAAAAAGCTTTTGACAAAGAAAGAAAACAATCTCAAAAGTTTATCTCACGTCTCTCTGCAAAGAATTTTCCGGTCACAGCCTCTTCAGACAGAACCAAGCTAAGCCAAACTCCAGTATCAGCTGCATCTTGAGGAGACATGTTACCAGCGAAGCCAGTCATTGCTGTCTTCACCCAACCAGGACAAAAGCTGTTAACATAAATCTTCTCACCATCTTGTCTTGACGAAAGCTCTTTCGCTATCATTCTAGTGTATGCGTTGACGGCAAGCTTAGACATGGAGTAGTCAGTAAAGGTCTGAGGCCACCCGCCTGATTCCCAAGTTCCATCTTTCACTTGGTTGATGAATGTAGAGACAGTTCTGTCTATAAGTTCTTCTGTCAGAAAATCTGGATTGCTTAGCTGGTCTCTCAACTCTACATTTGCAAGCCTCTGCAGATGCATCCAATTCCACACAAATTTAATGGAAATTTAACTTGAAAAAAGAAAAAGAAAGAGAGAAGAATTTACTTACATTACGTCTTCCATAAACTCTACCTAGCCTGGAACTAACGTTAACAATACGAGCTCCATGAGGAGACGGTCTCATCAAAGGTATCATAGCTTTAACCATGTTCTTGGTTCCATGGTAATTAACAGACACAACCGTCTCGGCAAACTCAACCGAGTTATCTGAGCCAAGATTGTAGTTGACACCTGCGTTGTTCACCTGAAAAGATAACAACAGTCACACAAGAACTATCCTTTCCAAGACAAACAAATCCATAAGGATCTTACGAGAATATCAAGACCACCGAATGTTTGCTTAGTCCAGCAACAAAACTCTTTGATCGAAGAGTCGTCCGTGACATCAAGCTGATGAAATTCAACTTTGAGACCTTCTTGTTGGTTCCTCAATGATCTAACTGCTTCAAGACCAGCATCAACGTTTCTAGCTGTAAGAACAACAGTCAATCCGTGGGTAGCAAGCTGTCTTGCGATTTCGAGACCAATCCCTCGGTTTGAACCAGTCACTACTGCTACATTTTCAGAAGACCACCATCTACACATATCAATTTCAAATGCCTAATTAAATCATAAAGTCAAATTCAAGAAGAGGAATGATAATGAACACAAACACCTAATCTCTATCTCCAAACATAAACTAAGAAAACACATTTAACAACTTTACATAGTCAGAACACTAAAACAGAAGCTAGAGATTTAACACAATACTTGTGAAGAAATAAAAGGTTAAGATTGATACCTTTGATGGTTAGAGTAAGGGATGGTTCGAAGGAGAGAGATCTCTTGCATCCTCTTCTCCCTTCTCTCCCGGGCTTTTTCCTTGTTAGTCATCGCCGCCTTCTTCTTCCTCCTCTCTCAGCTCTCGTCGTATTGTGAAGGTGTAAAGTTTCTCGTAGTCCTGCCCGTAGGAGATCAATTCGGTTTATAATTCAACTCTAGGATATTTATTAATGTGACCTTTAGCGTCTGTTGAAATCACATAGTAGCCTAAAACATTTTAATCAAACTATTTAACCCTTAAACCTTTTTAATCAAACTATTTAAATTTAATCCAAGCACAGTGTTATAAAATTACAGCAAGTAATGAAAACAAACTTTTGATGAGAAATTTTCTAACTTTTTTTATAAATTGATTTTATCGGAAAGATTTTGATGTTTGATAACCAACCTATGGTCACCAATCAATTATCTTACCATAAATGTTTTAGTATTTTTGTGGAACGAGAATTGAAAAGAGGATAATTCATGACGCAAGCGATGATGTCATTGGTTACACGTGCACGCATATAGAAAAGCCAGCGTCCGACGTCTCTCTGCGCTTATACGAGAGAGCCCACTCGAATTGTTCCTCTTGGATCACTTTATTACAGTAACATCGAAAAGAGAATAAGACTTTTACTAATTTTCCCGACACATCGGAGAGATCAAACGATCGTTAAAAAGACGCGGGAAAATCATCGGGTAAAATCATCTCTCTGTATCTGTTTTAATGTTTACCATCGTTTTTTTTTTGCCTCTGCTTTTGATTTAGCAATCGAATCCTAGGTTTTAGAATACCGAATTAGAAACAGAGGTTAGATAAATTATAAGCTAAGTAAATCCTTTAACAAAAAAAAAGAAAAATTAGCTAAGTAGTAGATATCTCTGTTTCTGTCTGATCTGAAAAATGTTTTTATCTTGTGTCAAAAGTGCCTGGAGTGACTCCTGGGGCGAAACTAAATGAACTAAGAGCATGTTTATTGCAGGTCTCTTAAAGCTGAGTCTCTTAGCGTACGGTCCCTTAGATTTTAACTGAAAATGCTAAGAGACGTCCTTAAAGGGATTAAGAAACAGTCTCTTAATTACGCTAACTCATCGTTAAGAACTCTTATTAATCATGCTCATTGGTTTTTGATTTCGAGTTTGGAGAGATTGCAGAGATTGCGGGGTTCAACCAAGAACCTTAAAAACTTGTTTTAAAAAAATTGGCTAATTATGTTAAACTATGAAATTTTTTACATGGTCTTGCTTCTTTTAAGTTATGAGTTGCTGGAAATTTATAACGAACTAACTTCTATATATTATTGAAACAGGAGAAAGACAATGTCTCGTTTTCTTATCTCGACCTTACTTCTTCTTCTTTTACTCGCATTAACCATATCTCCAAGCCACAGCTTCCTCAAAACCAATAAGAAGATAAACTCTGCAACTTTCTTATCACCAAAACTAGTAATGACTCCAGGATCAGTCGCAAACCCTTTCCTCTTCGACATCGACTTCCCTCGAGGTCACATCGGCGTCAAAAGCTTCGACGCCGAAGTAGTCGACCAAGATGGCAACCCCGTGCCTCTACACGAGACCTATCTTCACCACTGGGTCGTGCAACCTTACTATGTACGCAAAAACTTCAACCTCTCTCATCGAGACATGCCTAGGAACCACGGGTTCTCAAGGCATCTCGGTTCTTCGAAACCTGATTACATTCTCGTTAAAAACGGAGGGTTGTGTAGGAACACGGTCAGACATTTCTTCGGGTTAGGATCAGAGACACGCAAGACCTCCACACGTGTCCCTGATCCTTACGCGATTGAGATCGATAACCCGGAGGAGAGACCAGATGGGTATGAGTTCAAGTGGCTTCTCAACATCCACGCGATTGACACTAGGGGGGTTGTGGATAGATCAGGATGCATAGAGTGTCGTTGTGATTTGTATAATGTGACGATTGATGAGTACGGTCGTGCTATTAAACCGGATTATAAAGGTGGTTTGTACTGCTGTTATGATAAGACTCAGTGTTTGGTGAGAAACGAGTTTGAGAATGTGGGGAAAACGAGAACTCTGTTTCTTAAGTATACTGTGAGATGGGTTGATTGGGACAGCTCGGTGTTGCCTGCTAAGGTTTATATTCTTGATGTTACTGATTCTTGGGAACGGTCAGAAGGGTCAACGGGAGATAGTCAAGAACATTTTTGCCATGTTAGTAAAGTTTTTTTTTTTTTACTTATTGTTTTAAGTATGTTTGTTAAGGTCTTATTATGCTTTTTCTTTTTTTTTTTCAGGTGGAATATGAGGTGAAACCGTGTGAGAATAATGGAGATGGATGTGTTGACGTTAAGAAGAAGAGCTTAATGATGCCGTTTAATGGGTATATTGTCTACGGAGCAGCTCACCAGCATGCGGGCACTACAAGAAAACTAAGCCATTACTAGGAAAATTTACTAGGAAAACATTTCCTCGTAAAAATACTACTAGTTTACTTCGACTTTACGAGGAAACATCTTTTCCTCGTAAGGTTCTCGTAAACTTACGAGAAAAGCGTTTCCTCGTAAAGTGGAAGTAAATTTACGAGGCTCTTACGAGGAAAATAATATTTTCCTC